CCCCGTGGCCCTCTCCAGGCCTGTCTAAGAAGAAGCCAGAAGCCCCCACCCAGAGGTGCTTCTCCTTGCGCATGAAGAGCACCCTCACCAGCCGTGGCCGCACCCTCAACCTCAAAGCAGCCACCTGGAAGGTGGGTCATGTGGGTGGGGGTCTTGCAGGCTCCCCGAGGTGGAGTCTAATGGGCCCTGGGCCATGGGGGTATGGGGAGTCTGTGGGGGTCTTTCTTAGGCTGGAGCTCTATGGGCCTGGGGTTGGGGCTTCTCAGTCCTCCAAGCCTGGGGTCTCCAGGGGATTGGAACCTGGAAATTAGCAGGACTCCAGGCTTGGGTCTTCATAGGGTGGGACCTGGGAGGTTATTAGGACCCCTGGGCCTGGGTCCCCATGGGGTGGGAACTGTGGGGTTATCAGTCTTGAGTGTGTGGGTCTCTAAGGGGCTGGGCTCTGGGGGTCCTCGTGGCTCCGACAGTGTGCACCGCTGCCCTCAGGGATCCCTCGGTTCCCCCCTGGTGTCTCAGGCCCAGTGATTCCCTCCCACAGGTCCTCAGGTGGCCCTTACTGACCTGTCCACACCACCACCAGGTGCTGCACTGCTCCGGGCACATGAGAGCCTACAAGCCCCCGGCCCAGATTTGCTCGCCTGGGACCCCCGACCAGGAGCCCCCCCTGAGGTGCCTGGTGCTCATCTGTGAGGCCATCCCCCACCCAGGCAGCCTGGAGCCGCCGCTGGGCAGGGGGGCCTTCCTCAGCCGTCACAGCCTGGACATGAAGTTCACCTACTGCGACGAGAGGTGGGCCGCGGTCCCCATTCACTGCTTCCCATCCCCCCCACGCCCCCATGTTTCTCTCCGGTGTGCTTCTCCCTGACTCCAGCTATCTGTCCGTCTGTCTCTCTCTCTCTCTCTGACCTTCCGAGGACCTCCCTCCGTGTCCTCCGGTGGCTCGCCATGAGCCAATCATTTCTGGTAAGGCAGTTCCCGCCCTGCCCAAATTCTCCCTCCTGGTCTTCCCTCGGAAATGAATCTTAGTGGAGTGTGGTGACGTGTCGGCTGCTACCCTCGAGGTCGGTGGTTCGAAGCCCAGCTGCTTCACAAGGCTTTTTACTCTAGAAACCTCGGGCAGCCTCGGAAACCGCAGGGGGAGTCTCGTCCTGCCCCGCGAGGGGCGCTATGAGTTGGAATCACTCATTGGCAGTGAGTTTGGGAATTTCTCCCTTCCTTACATTAAGCTGCGGTAGCATCCTCGGGCCTCGGTAGCATCCCCGGGCCTCTGAGCGAGGCTCTCCCAGTGCGCATGCTCAGAAGTCTCTAGCAGCGCTTCAAACCAACCTGTTACCATGGAGTCAGTTCGGACTCCGGCTCTTGGGGTTTGGGGTCAGCCGGTCCGTGGCAACCCAGAGCACCCGTCCGCACAAAGGAGCAAAACCCTGCCCGGTCCTGCGCCCACCATCCTCACCATGGCCCCTGTGCCCGAGCCCACTGCTGCAGCTGCTGTGCCCACCCACCTCCTGGAGGGCCTGCCCCTCCTTCGCTGCCCCTGCCCTCGATGTCCTTCTCCAGGGACCGATCTCGGCTGACCACCATCCTTGCCTCTAAGGAGCCTTCTGCCCTTCCTTCGTCCCAGACAGGGTTGTTTGTCCTCTGGGCCAACCGTAGTACTTCCAGCCTTCCGCCCCCGCGCCACGATTCAAATGCATCGATTTCCCTTCCGTCTTCCTCATTCGGTACCCAACTTTCACACGCATGGCGGGCGGCTGAAAATACCAACGTTCTCGCTCTTCAACGCTGAAGAGGTCTTGAGAGGCAGATGGACCCAAGGCGACCTGTCCATTGATGGATCTCTTTGGCCGCCCCTTCCAGGCGCGTGGATTGTAGAGCCGAGCGAGATAAGATGCTGGACAAAGTCCATCTCTCCTCCGTTCTCCATTCTTCAAGAGGCGCGATGGCGGGAACCTCTGGGCCCAGTTGGGAGGGTTTGGGTTTCCTTTATGCTGAGCTGGGATCTGCCCCAAAGGCTCCGAGGAAGCTGCTCTTCAGCCTTGATCTTCAGGGCCACCCCAGACACCTGCCCGGTCTGCACCATCCTCACAACGGCTCCCTAGGCCTGAACCCACTGTTTTCACCACTGTGTCCATCTCCCTCGTTGATTTTCCCCGCTGCCCCCTCGACTTTACCGAGTATGATGTCCTTCTCCAGGGCCTGGTCTTTCCTGACAACCCGTCCAAAGTCAGGGAGATAAAGTCTCATCGTCCTTGACCTCTAAGGAGCTTGTTGGCCGCACTTCTTCCAGACAGACTGGTTTGTTCTTGTGGCTGGCTGTGGTACTTTGAGCCTTGGTACTTTGAGTATTCTCCACCGAATTCTTTTTTTTTTTTTTAAAGCCTATCAATAGTTCAAGGTCTGATTGTTGGCCTTTACGAGTGTTTCCCCGTCGAGTCTGATGGGGTGCCACACTCTGTCTCCAAAATGCGTCCGTCCAGTTGTGACTCACATGGGGTCCCTGGGGGTCGCAGATGGCTCACGCTTGACTACTAACATAGGGATCCCAAGCCTATACACTCTATCATCCTTCTCCCACGGAGCACCTGGTGGATTTGAACTGCTGACCTCTTGGGTAGAAGTCACTGCGACCCCAGACTTTCTTCCAGCCTACCACACCGCTCCCCCCCACCCCCCCACCCCTATTTATTCTATCACCTTCCCCTGTTCTCTTTATTCTAACCCTGACCCTCTCTCCATCTGGCTGGCTCTGTCCCTGTGCCCCCAGTACCCTTCGCTTTCCCCACCGGGACCCCAGCCTGCTGAACTCCGGCCTGACAGGGCTTCATACACCCCGCCCCCAGGATCGCGGAGGTCGCCGGCTACCACCCCGAGGACCTGATTGGCTGTTCTGCCTACGAGTACATCCACGCCCTCGACTCAGACGCGGTCAGCAGGAGCATCCACACCTGTGCGTGTGCCC